TTCTTCAATCATTGTTCTCCACTCATAGTCCCTGCATTCTGGCATCATGGTTAAACTGTGTGCTTTGCACTAGGTTCAGGTCCTGGCTCTGTTCTCTGCTTAGACCTTGGGCAGCTCACTTAATCTCCCTTAGCCTCATCCTATGGAACCCAGGAATGAGACAGGGGTTATGAGAAAAAAAGTAACTCCTGGGACCCACATAACACCAAGACTAGAACAAAGTTGGTACCTAATAAACACGAGTGGCCAGTATTATTGTCCTGCCTGCCTGAGTTTTCTTGTCTCCTGAAAGATGATGTTTGACAGTGATGTTCTCGGGCAGACATTTTACCCTTTGAAAATACCACTGCATTTGTTTCCTAGGGTTACTGTAACAAACCACCTTGATTTGGGAGGTCTAAACCAATGGCTACTTACTCCTGAACAGTTCTAGAGACTAGATGACCAAATCAGGTCACACTTCTGTCCACTGGGGAGTCCTTCCTTGCTGCCTCCTTGCTTCCAGTGGTTTCCTGGCAATCTTTGATGTTCCTTAGCTTATAGCTACATCACTTCAGTCCTGTCTTTATATGACCATCTTCTTACAAGGACACAGTCACATAGGATTAGGGGCCCCCCTAATCCAGCATGACTTCACTCTAATTAATTACACCTACAATGACCCTATTTCTGAATAAAGCCATATTTGGAGGCGTTAGGGGTTAGGACTTTGACATCTCTTTTTTGGAAGGTCACAGTTCTACCTAAGCCAACCATTTTTGGCTGATGGCTGCTTCTGAGCAAAGGTATCATTGTAAGTTTCCACCACTCATCCAGTCCTGTCAGCCAACAACCTGACAAGGTCCCAAATTGTTCTGTGACTAGAAATAAGGATTTAGAGAAAAGCCTCAAAGAAGGTAACAGAAAGCTTCCTCCTTCCTCAGTGGCTGTGAGTGACTGCAGCTCAAATTCAGGGTGTGCAGCCACCTGGAGTTGCAGGCAGCTGGAGGTATAGACTCTGAATGGACCTGCATCAGGAACTGGATGCACAGGTGGGGTTGAGAAGCACCTTCCAGAAGCAGTTATGAGTTGTGTCTTTGTTGTGCCTTTCTGTTTCCTAGAAACTTTAATAAAATCTTGCTAACTGCCTGTCTCATCTCCATTGTGTGCAGGGGAAGAGAAGGAGGGGGTGTGGCCCATAGTTTTGCAGGAAGAGTCCTGGGTGAGTTTTCCCTCCTCTAAAGCCAGGTGGGGAACTGGCCAGGTCACTACTGGAAAGATCTCCCTAGGCCACCAGCAATCTAAGCCTCTCTGGTTCTTTGTGTGCCAGAGACCTTGGAACCACTCAGAGCACCATCAAGTGTTTGAATGAGAACCACTCAGAGCAGCTGGGGACAGTCCAGTGTTTGAATGTTGGCCAGTGAGCACACGTACCCAAATAATTTGGTGAGTCTAGGACCTCTGTCATATAAGGGGCTAGATATAATCTGGGGTTGGTGGTAAAAAGGGACCACAGATTGCCCTCAATAGTTTGGGTGGGGCAGGAATGCAGACAATAGGACCACAGTGGAAGGATGTACAAACACTAGGTGCTTTGAGAGTACATGAGATGGGAAACTAAACCAGGAAGGCTTCCTGGAGGAAGAGACTCCTGGGTGAGGCTGGAGGAAACATGCAAGAAGTAGAAAGAATATTTTTCAGGTGGAAGGCTGTGTTTCCAGAACTAAGTGAGGCCTGGCCTGCCAGCAGTTGGAGGGATGCCTCAGTGCCTAGCCCAGGCAGAGACTGCAGGACAGGGGAACCATAGGGAGAGGGGAGCCAGAAGCCTGAGGAAAGAAGCAGAGCCTATGAAAAATCTTCAAGACTGAGACATATTTGGGTTTGAACTTAAGGGCAATGTTGCGTTGTATGCAGGTTTATGCAGGAAACTGAACTGAGCAGAGCGGGACTTTGAAATGATTTTTTAAATTTATCATTTAAAAGTTATCTCCATACTTCAGGCCCACACCCCACATCAGAACACTCAGTTACTCTACAAATGACACTGGAAGTTCCACTTCCATAGATTAGTGTGGATCACAGTTACGGCTTGCCCTCCCTCCCTCCCTCTCTCTCTTCCCCCTTCCACTTCCTTTTCTTTTCTCTTCTTTTGAATGGCTCACCTGGACTTCTCTCCCCCAAGATGCTGCCTCCCTGATTACTATCTAGACATCAAGTTCTACAGCTCATGAGCAAGGGATGTCCAACCCAGGCTTCTAGGATGGGCTCCCAGCCCAAGCCTGGCTTCCTGGCAGCCCTTGATCATGTGGGAGGAAACCCAGGCACTGAATCTGCGGCTGAGACGTGGCAGTTAAGTCAAGAACCTTCATTAGACAGCCCGTCATCATGCACTGGTTAGATCACGGCATACAGACAGAGATGGTGCCTATGTGACAGGAGAACCTCCACTCCGCTTCCTAGGGCCGTAGCAGACATTACTAATCAATTGTGCCACACTGCGTCAACGTGCAGCTGCAGACGACTATGATCAGTTAGTCAGAGTTGGTACGCGGGGAAAACTGACTTGCCATTCTTGACCCAGACACAGCCAGGATCCAAAGGTCAGGGTAACTGTGACTCAGAAGCCAAGCCAGAAGGGCAGCGGTTAGAACTCATGCAGGAATTTCAAAAGCGGTAAGGTAAAGGGCAGGGTAGGGAGTGGTCAGGCTGGCTGAGCTGAACCGTGGGCAGGGAAGGAGGTGATGACTCACATTAATCAGAACTTTAGTTTACAAAGCACTTTCACTAAATACCCACAACTCTGAGGTTAAATGATTCACTTCCATATTAAAGATGAGACCAGAGAAGGTGGGTGCACCTGGAGTCACCCAGTGTTCTGGTCTACCTGGCAGACACACTTCCTCTGAGCTAATGGGTACCCGGGAGCACAGGGAGGCACAGGAGGCAAGGTCAGCTTCTTTCTAAAAGTTCATCCTGGAACTGAGACTCATGAGAGGGAAAGTGGGTGGAGCCAGTGGCCTGATGCTGAGTGGGGCTGGGACCAGGAGGGGGGAACTCATTTGCTGATTTTTTGGGGGGGTTGGATATTGGAGTTTGAACTCAGTACCTTGCACTTGCTAGTCAAGTGCTTGACTACTTGAGCTATATCCCCAGCTCTTTTGCTTTTTCATTTGTTTTTCAGATAGGGTCTTGAACTTTTGCCTAGGCTGGCATCAGGTTGTGATCCTCTTAGTTCTGCCTCCCAAGTAGCCAGGATTACAGGCATGCACAATCACATTCAGCACACTGCTGATTTTTCAGGCAGGTAGATACTCCTGACTTTGTTTAGTTCAGGCTGCAGCATGGTGTCATGGAATACAGATCAAGAAGAGATGACCATGGTCTTCTGTGGGCCAGAGGAGCTGGTTCCAGGTCACCCATGGCAGTGCCCCAGAACCCTGCCACAGCCTGGTGCTCAGGTCTCCCTGCTTTCTGTGAGCTGCTCGGGCTCTTTCCTCCCGGGGTTGGCCTCTGTTTCTGTTGCTTGAAAGTAAAGGGCCTGAGAACTGTCACTGATGGAGTGAACTATGTGGAAGTGGGTCTCAAGGTCCGTGTCTGACTTCAAGCCAAGAACCCCTTAGGTGGACAAGAGCCTCTAGGAAGGCGTACGGGTGGGAAGCAGTCACTCTTTCAAGATCCCTTGCCCGGGAGCCCTGTCTCTCTACTGTCCCAGCACCCAGCTCCTCTCCTCCCCATGGGTGCTCCACAGACAGGGCTGGGGAAGGGTGGAAAGGCCCTTGCTGGGGCAGGTGATACTGGCTTTCCAGAAGTAGCTGGGGTCCCTGAGGAGCTGGGAAGGCAGGGCTGCCCTAGCAACATGGGGAGGTGTTCAGCAGTCCCTTGCCCTTTGCCATTCTTTAGACTGGCATCGCACTCTGGGACAGCATACAAACCACCTTGAGTATTGTACAGATGTGCAGACACAGCCCAGGACAGAAGCCACTCAGACCTCTGAGGAAGGGAAAATGGGAGCCTGTCCACCTGTCTGCCCCTGCCTGCCCTGCTGACCCAGTGATTTCCCAGTGGCTGCTCTGTCCTCCAGTCTGGAAAGCCTTCAGAGTGTTGAACAGTGCAATTCTCAACATTCTTGGAGTCATTTGGTTAGGAAACTGGCCTTGGCCCATCTTATGACTATGAAGAACAGCAGCTGCCACCTAGCGTCTAGGCAGTGTCAGGACTCCGTCTTGAATGGCTGGGCCCACAGCTAGTGTAGGGCCGGCCTCTTCAGGGTTAGGACAATAGGGGCTGTGGTGAACAGATGGGTTGCCCTGTCCATGGGACAACAACCACTACTTGGCTTCAGAAAAATGGCCCCATGTCGTCAGAAATTCTGATTAATCAAGAAAAACCCAATATCCATTTTTTCTGTGAAATTCAATATTTAAGTGTGTGTCAATTATATATATATATTTATTTATTTATTTATTTATTTTTTTTAATAAGGGCTGGAACACAGATCAGTGGTAGAGCATTTGCCTAGCATGCATGAAGCCCTAGGTTCCATCTCCAGCATCACAAAGAAATAAGTGTGGAGGCCAGGACATTCCTCTACCTTCCGCTCATGTTGAGTAAAATCCCAACTGCCTCACTGGCCCAGAAGGGTCCAGAGCCACAGTCTGAGTCACCTCTCAGTCCCTCTGTCCCAACCTTCCAAATCTCCTAGTTTCTGGGACCCACTTGGCCTGCTGCCACCTCAGGGACTCAACACAACCTATTCCCTCTGCCACCTCCTCGGCTGTGCTCAATGTTCTCTTCTAGGGAGGTCCTCTCTAACCCCCTTTAAAATGTTGGCAGTGTCCAGCAACCGTGGCTCACTGCTGTAATCCTAGCTACTCAGGAGGCAGAGATCAGGAGGATTGTGTTTTGAACCCAGCCGGGGCAAATAGTTCGAGAGACCTATCTCAAAAATACCCAACCAAAAAGGACTGGCGGAGTGGCTCAAGCAAACGAGCACCTGCATAGCAAGCATGAGGACCTGAGTTCAAGCCCCAGTACTGCCAAAAAAAAAAAAAACAACAAAAGTTAAAATGGCGAACATGCATTAACACTCCTAAGGCAAACAACAGCACACCGGTTCCAGTCCTAGTTTTCTCCTGAGCAAACATCTCTAAAGTTTTATTCACTTACTGTCTCCCTGAAGCCCGCACCTTTTAGTGCTCTGCTCACAGTGTACCCATCAAGTTACCCATTAAGATACATGGTGTACACCTAACAAGGTACCAGCCCTTTTCCCAGGTGACAGCTTAAGTATGACAGGGTGAGTCAGGTATTCACCACGGCTGGGAGGGCGGACAGTCGGCACCCTTGCAGAGTGGCCTCCACTCCCTGCCATCAGCAGCAGCTCAAATGCCACCGGCATTTTGAAAGGGGTCCTAAAAGTGGAATGGAATAAATAAATCTATGCTGGAACATAGGCGTTGTCAGCCCTGCTGGTCTGTGGGTCCCCAGGACCTAGCAACCGAATGAACTTGGAAAGCAAGACGCCCACGTCGGGAGCGCGCCAGGACGCACCTGGGTGAGGGAACGCTCCTGGTCTTGCTATTTGGAGTTACCTCCCCTCGCTGTTTCCTCTTTTTTTTTTTGCAGTACTGGAGTTTGAACTCAGGGCCTCAAGCTTGCTAGGCAAGCTCTCTACCACTTGAGCTATGCCCCAGCCGTTTCCTCATTTGTAAGTAGGGATAGTGCCTTCCCGCGGGGCTCGTGAGGAGCGAATGAGAATAGCGCGGGGATGGCACATCCGGAGCTAAGCGCCCCGAGGTTTTCCGGCAAGTCTGACCCGCACACCCAGCGCTAGTGTCTTTTACGCCTCTGCAGGGGCCGCAGCGTCGAGCCCAGGAATCCATCCATCCATCCATCCACTGGCTCAGGACTTAAGCCCAGAAAAGTGTATTCTCCAGAACTGCCTCCAGAGGGCACCACCGTCACAGCGCTGAGCAACCCACACCCAAGTCCTGCTGCCCCGCCACCGGCCCACCTTTGTGCAGGAGGCCAATGTCGCTTTGCAGATGAAGGGAACCCAGTGACCTTGCCCCATCTCAGGCCGCACCACCAACAGGAATCCCTAAACTGTCCATTATCCAGTGGATCTGATCCCATGATCTGCAGTCCAGCACTCAAGGCATTTGTTTGCTGGGAGAGGGGGGTAGGACTCAGCTCAGGCTGACATCTTAAAGTAGGGAATTGGAAGATCTCCTGCAGAGCCTGAATGCACTCCCAACAGTGACCATGAACACCCTATGGCCACCCTGTCACTGGCTGTACTTGGAAGGCACCTATGTCTGAGTTCCCATCATAGGCAGCTGCTTCCCACCTAGCCACCCACTCCCAGCAGCAGGCACATTGTGTGTCACAGGGCCTCTCATCCTGGCCTTGGCCTTCCCACCTGTGAACTAAGGTGAGGGAGCCACACAAGACATCCCCTCCTCTGGTTTGAGATCAGAAGCAGCATGAGGTTCTGTGATGGTCAGTCTGTCTGCTGGCCTGGCCCCACATCTACACCCTGGCACCACCTGGGTCATAGTAACTGCACCTTTCTAGGAACAGGTGTGAAGCTATTCTGAGAACAGGCTGCCTGGGGAGAACAGAGGAGGGACACCTCTAACAGGGGTCCCTTGTCCCCAACTAGAGCCTTCAGAAGGGCACTAGGCTGTAGGTTACTACACACACTTCTAGAGCAACCATCTGGCATTTGTCATAACAGATGCCTAGGCAGAGGCTGGCCCTTGCTCCCATTCTCCCACCCCCAACCCCAGTGATATCAGTCCAATGGGCCTCCTTGGCCTGTGTGGGCAGACAAATGGAGGTGGTGGTGGTAGGTCACCAAGAGCAGTAGTAGGTCTCACAAGTCTGAGTCCAACAGGGCAGACCAAGTCAGGCTTCATTCTTGTACCCTCAAAAGCTCTCTTCATAGCTACACCAGCACCCACCTATAGTCCTAGCTACTGAAGAGGCTGAGGTAGGACGACCTCAAGTCCAGGAGCTCAAGACCAACCTGGGTAATAGTGGGACTCTGTCTCAAAACAAGCAATTCCTCTTTCCAAAAATGATTAGTGCATTTGCAGGGCACATCCAGTCCTGAGGTCAGTGCTAGTCACTCAGGGCTGCACTAGTCTGTGAGAAGCAAGTCCATGACCTGGTCTGAGCTTTGGATTCCCAGCTGCACCATGAGGACAGCATCAGGCAGTTCTCCTGAGCCTCAACTGGGCAAGTGGAGTGAAGGCACAAGAACACACCACAAGGCCTGCTGAGCAGCACACAGGAGGCTGTTTTTCTCCAGGCCTGCTCTTTAGTGGGGTGGTGGCATCCAGGCCACTGGATGGCATTCTCTCATCTCCTACTAGTGGTCCCACCCACAAGCTCACTCCTGCCTTACCTGCCCTTGCAAGGGTCCAACTGTATACACGTCAGAGCTGGATGTCACACTGGTGTCTTTATTGGACTTTCTGTATGTGACCTGGATGCCTCAGGTTCACCCAGCTCCTGACTTCTGATGGCAGCTGGGAGCTCCCAACCTTGCACAAGGCCACACACACCTCATGGTCCCCAGTTCTTGGGTGAGCTCAGACTGCTTTCTTGAGACACTCAGTTTTCTCACTGCCTACCCCTTTGTGCCAGGCTGCCCAACCCAAGCATCCTGGGTGGTGGGTTCCAGGCTAGGGTCCCCAGCAGTGCCTGCCTGTCTCAGACTGCCTCAGACCCTCCACAACACAGCACAATGTTGCAGGCTCCAACCTACAGCTTAGTGTTGAGGTGGAAGGAGAAGTGGGGCGCTGCATAGGTTGTGACAGGTGGTATGTGCCAGGCAGAGGAAGTGGGGCCGAGTCTGTGGCTGAGGGCACTGTCGAAGGATGTGGGGGGGAAGTGCATCAGGCCAGTGGCCATGGGTGAGGGGCCTGTAGTGGCCAGGAAGTGGGCTGGGAAGGCTGGGATGACCAGAGGACTGAAGGGGAGTGCAGCTTGGCCCTTCAAAGGGTCTGCGGCACTGGTAAAGTTGAGTGGGCAGCGCAGCATAGTGCCTCTGTAGGCTTCCGGGGCAGCAGGCCCCAGGGCTGGGCCAAGCAGGCAGGAGACAGCCAGGCCAGGAGCTGGTGGTTTGGCCCCACATTCCTTGGCATCCACCTCCTTCAGAAAAGGAGATACTGCCCGCAGTTTTTTGCCACTGTGGGCAAAGCCCTCTTCTTCCAGGCTGCGCTTGTTACTGAGGCCTGGACTGCTGTGGAGGGTGGACGGGGGCACGGGACTCTCAGCAGGGCCCTTAGCCATGGGAGACACCCAGCAGGCTTTGGGCTTAGGGTAGAAGCTGCTCTTTCTGGAGCCACCTTTATGGAATGCAGAGGGGCGGCTGGCATCCCCACCCCACACCAGCTGGGGCTCCTTGGCTTGCAGCCCTTCCTCTTTGCCAGGAGGCCCCAGCACCCCATCTTTAAAACTGCAGAAGAAGTCCCGGGGGTGCTGACTGATGGGCTTTAGCACTTCAGTGGGGTAGGCATGGAAACAGCCTGTGAAGATGGAGGCTGCCGGGCAGGGGCCCACCTGAGCCTCCACTCTGATGCTGCCCCCAGGGGCCTGCAATCCCTCCTGAGGGGTCAGCAGGTGCCCCGAGTTCTCAGCCAGCCTTCTTGGGCTCCGGGGACTCTCTGGGGACTCCCTGTTGGGGCCACCCACTCCATGGTGACAGCCCTCCTCCCGGCACTGCAAGGCCTCTGCCTTGCTGACCTGGGCCAGGAGCTTCTTTTTCGCCAGTGGTGACATGATGCCATGTGTCCCTTTGCAATAGAAGCTGGACAGGAGCTGCTTGTAGGCCTCAGGGCAGCCACTGGCACCCACAAAGGGCAGAGAGGGCCCAGAATCTGGGCCCAGTGGTTTCGTGCTGTCCCTGGGGGGGCCCTGGTTGGGAAGCTGTGGCAGGTCAGTGGCATCTGTTTTGGTCTTTCCTGGCATCATCTAGAATGAGAAAAAGTCTTATCTTAGGGCTGGGTGTGGGCCATGCATCTTGCCTTGGGAATGTGAAGACAGTAGGCCTGAGGGGGCATCCAGGACCCCTACTTGCCCTTGTAGCAAAATTTTCACAAGGTGTCCTGTGCTGTGAGTGGACACAGCCTAGAATCAAGATATAGGGTCCAGTGAATGAAGTATGAGCTGGACTTCAGAGAACCCAGAGCCCTAACAAGTCCAGTCCAGCCCTCACAGTGGGTTCTATGTATTCCCAGCAGGGGACAGGGCAGCCAGAGTCAGGCAAATAGGAGGGCTGGAAGAGGGAGCTGTGAAAGGCAGGGGACAGGGCAACCCCACTATGCTTGGTGCTCACCTGGTCCACTTGCCTCTCCTCCTTGGCCTTCTTCGGCCTCTCTGTGGCCCCATCATCCCCCCGTGACTCCTTGGCCATCTTGTATTGTTTCCTAGGCTTGGAGGGGGGCAGTGGCTTGTCATCCTCCCCCTTTAGGTGCCGCACATAAGGGAGGACCAACCTGGGGAGAAGCCGGTGTGTCCACAGGAGGCTGGTGGCCAGCCTGGTAGAGGGAGGCCCTCTGGCTCCCTCCACCAGGAACTCCCTCTCTTTTGTCCCAAAGCTGTCAGCTCCCTCTGACCATGCACACAACCAACCTACAACCAACCTTCCTCATCTTGTCCCATAACTCCCAGCTCTGATGAGGACTCAGCACACACACGTGTACCCTGCTGAAATGGCCTGCATGGGACACAATCTTGCTCTCTTTTCTGGACACAAATGGTGCATTTGTCTGAATATTGTACCTGCACTGTTCTCCCAGCCCACATTCTCCCAAGGCCCTGGAAAGGGAAGGCCCGGGTATCCTCTACCAGGAATGGTAGCGTGCCCCCATACCTCTCATAGTGGCGGCGCGTGCATGTGGCCGCACTCGTGCTGCCCGGGCTGCCCCCCAGCTCGTCGTACACGTTCTTCCAAAGGCGGCGGCCAGTTACCTGCAAGGGCATCACGTGAGGAATGCCATAAGAAGGACTGCTTCTCCAGCCCAGGAGTGGGATGCTGAAGGGAGCTGCCTAACCCCACCAGCTCTCCCTCCCAGGTGCCGCCCAACTGCAGCCCAAGCAAGTTTGGAAGCCCAGGAAGGCATAACAGATGGGGAAGAGGGGAAAACCTGCTTAGAGCAGCAAAGCACCAGCAGGCAGGGCAGGTCCCTGCTCCCTACAGCATACATAGCTAAGATTGGGGTTCCTTGCTCTTCCTCCTATCTGTAGGCAAAGAATGCCCTGCCAGCTGATCCTTTCCCCAGCCCCTCCTGGGGTACATCTAGGATGTGCTGAGAGATGCAGCCCAGCAAAGACTCGGAGGAGGCTTTCTTACCAGCTCGTAGGCCCCCAGTTTCTCCACTGCCTTGTAAATCTTCCACAGGTTAACTAGAGGAAAGGGGGACAGAGCAAGCTGTCAGTGTCTGCAACAGGTGGGAAGTCCCCCAGCAGCAGCTTGAAGCTCCCCACACACCCAAACAGGTCAATATCATGGATGGGCAGGCTGGCCCAATGCTCTGATGGTCCAGTGGTTCTGCCCATTTCCAGCCCTGGGCCTGCCAGGAAGCATCCTTTCTGTTTACAACCTTTATAGGCTGGCAGTTTCTGGGGACCCCCCAAAGAAGAGGAGCTTGCCCCATTGCCCTGGCTTGCTGGGGTCCCCTACCGGGCCCCCCTCCCTGCCTGAATCCCCGGGACGCACTCTGCTTGAAGCCGAGATGGGGCACCCTCTCGATGGGCGTGTGTCGCTCCTTCATGAACTTGTAGAGGCTGACCAGGAAGGCCTGCTCCTCCTCCCGCTCCCCGCCTGCCTCAGGGGAGTCCTGGGGAAAGAACAGGAGGTGTGGGGATGGGGGGTGGGCAGCTGAACGCATGTGGAAACTACCAACTATGAGGATAACTGGTGCCTGGCCCTCAACCCCAAGCTCTCTGGGAGCACCCAGTCTCCTGCCCTGGGCTTCAGTGAGCTTTCCTGAGTCACACAGGAACAGGTGTCAGCTTAGTGCCCAGGACCTATGATAGTAGCTGGAGCCCAGACTTCCACAGAGGCCTGGCAGTCTAAGGCAACAGGCTGGAGGCAGCTGCAGGAGCAGCCTTCATTTTCTAGGCTAGGATGGCTTCTTTATCTTGCTTTTCATTTGTGACATCTCCATCTTAGCTCCTCTGCCAGCCAGAGTTTCTGGAAGGCACTTAGGGGTAGAAGTCAAAGGAACAAAGGTGCTCAATACTTCCAGGAGTTGTGGGGATGCTCCACAGGACCTGTGTCCACTGGGCCTCTGTAATGGCACCTGCCTTTGATGCACCAGCCTGTCCTCCACGCTATCAACTCAGATGGATAGGTGGAAATGTAGTTTTACACTGTAGAATAAATAGTGCATTTGTCTGCTTTATGATCAGTGTCCAGGTCATCTTCATTTGAAAAGAGTTCCACCACCACTGCCACAGGTGACGAGTGAGTCCCCTGTCTGCCCAGGGCCCAGCTCCTGCACATTCCAATGCAGGACCCCACCAACTCTGCAGCATGCCAAGGCAGGAGGGAGACGAGCTCCTGAGAGTTTTCGGTGTCTCCAGCTTCCCCTGCAGGCTGAGCCCAGGCTGAGGGTGGCAGGGAAGAGGCCCCAGGGAGACACCTGACTCACCTCCAGATGGATGGGGCTGTGGCTCCTGCTCTTTTCACCATCAGGTTTCGGGGACACAGGGGGGTCCTGAGGATCACCCTCCTCTGACTGTTTCCTTTTCCCTTTAACAGTGGGTGCTGGAAAAGAAAGGGCAGAAAGAGAAGGAAAGGAGGGGAAGAGGGCGTGTGAGATGCACGTAGGAGAAACAAGTGACCAAAGAGTGCCCTCCACCCCAATTCCTAGCTGCAGCTGACCAGGGGAAGGCAGAGTCCCTCCCTTCCTTCCACAGTGTTCTCTGCCCATTAGTCTTGACTGCATTTGGACTGTCCCTTTATACATCACACCACACACTTACACACACGCACACACACAGAAAACCATGGCTCAGCCTGACCTGGCAGCCCCATAAACCCTCATCTCCCCTCCCTGGCCCTGCCTCTCTTCTCTTCTCCATTCTAGCCATCACCTCTCATCTCTAAGGGAAACCCTAAAACATGTTGGGGTCCAGTCAGAGAAGGCTGGGTGGGGTGTGGTGCTGGGGGAAACTCCGGGACCTGCTTACGTTCAGGCAGAGAGTTTCACAGCAGTTTGGCTGAAGGAGATGCTGCCAAGGCTCCCACACCTGTGGTTCCCAAAACACCATACAGGGGCCTAGACAGCCATTCCCCCAGGAATAATCAAGAGGAGAATAAGTGCCCAAAGGTGACATGCCTTTACCCAAGCATGTGCAAAGGGCTAACCACCCCTACTCAGGCTCAATACGGCCCTCCCTTGCAAGGGTCCCAGTGACCCTTCAGATCTCTGCTGACAAGTCCCTTCATTTGGGTGGCCTTTCCCCGCCCCTCCCAGCCCCAGCACTCCTGGCTCCTCTCATCAGCCTTGGCTACTCACAGCCATGCTGTCACTTATCTAACTTTCTAACACCTTGGTGAGGCCTCCAGCCTCCTGCCCCACAGTAGGCATAAATAAGCAAGAATGAGCAAGGCTCCATTGTACAAGAGGGTCCACAGATTCTACTCAGGGCAGCCATGTGCTGATGGGTGCAAAACTGCAACACCTTAGCCACTGAAAACATCAGTCTTTGGATACTGCCTCTGGCCATGCAGCAGATCTGGGACCAGGAACCCACATCTTTATGACAGCCTTTTAACATTTTTTTCTTGGTTTTATTATTTTTTTTCTTTTTCTCCACTGTGCAACCCAGTTCAGTGCCAGCAGCCTGCAGGCAATGGTTCAGAGACATAGTTTGCTCTGGCAAAGGACACTATGAGAGGTTCAGAGGGACAAACCTGCCATAAATCCAAACCCATGCATTTTTGTTTTGTTTAAGGCAGAATCTCACTATAGAGCCCAGGATGGCCTTGAACTCACAATACTCCTGCCTCAGCCTCCTGAGTGCTAGGATTATACGCATGTATCACCATGCCCTTTTGCAATGTTAGGGATACCCTACCACTGAGCTCCAGCCTTACTTTTATGAGATAGGGTCTCAGTATGTGTAGCCCAGGCTGGCCTTGAACTCACAATCCTCCCACCTTGGCCTCCAAGTGCTGGGATTACAGACAGGTTCCACCATGTGTGACCCTCACAACTTTTTCTTTCTCTTTTTTTCTTTTAGTTAATCAGGTATGAATAGGTCCCTATTTCTGGTTCACTCCAGCTCAGGAAATCACTATTGTTGGGAGCTGTGAGGTTTCTCCTCCATCTGACAAAAAGTCTCTGTAGGAACAATAAACCTGTACCAATATGACCCAGATGGCTGGAAGGACCCAGAGGTACATGGTATTAGAATCTTTTCCACTAATCAGCCTCTGCTTTGACAGCTGTTCGCAGAAGCTCAGCTATGCCTACAACTGCTCACTCATATTGTGTAGGTCCTTGGTTCCATGTCTCTGGCTGTTTTGTGTGAATTCTCTCATTTAGTCCTGGGAGGGATACCATTTTAAAAAGGGGGAAGACTGAAGCTGGAGAGGTCAAGAAGCTTATCTCCCTAGAAAGGCAGGACTCAAAACAAAGTCTGTCTAACCACCAGTCTAGTAGCTTCTGTGGTTATTATCAACAATGGCAAATCCCTAATGAAGAGTCCAAATAAACCAGGAGAGATACCCATGCTAAGGCTCATCAAAGAGAAAGAGACCCAGTCACCCTCTTTGGCTGGCTCTGACATTTGAGATTCAGTCAGTTTCCAGAAATCCTGGGTGCTAACAACTGACCCACCAGCCTTGCCTTTCTAACCAAGTCCTCAGTGACTCTGTGCCTCAGTCTTTTGTGAAATGGGAGGGAAATGCTAGAGTCATTAGCTACCTCAGTGAATTCCTCAAGTCCTGCATATGTCAGAGCACCTCTTTCCACCAGCCACCCTCCTTTCCTGATTGCCCACTCATACATCCTATCTCCCTTCATTCCCACTGCCTCCCAACTTGGACATCGAAGGACTCCCTCTATCTGCTCCTGAGTGTGACCCTGGCTTCTTACTACTCCCCTCCTGCAAACTGGCTGGCATGTTACTGCTCCTCGGGCTTGAAGAAAATAAGGGGGTTGGACCTTAACGATCACCTGAGAGAGCATTTTAAATACTCAGATTTCTGCATGGGTATCATCAGAATTTAAAGCCCCTGGGAGGATCCCAACAGGGCTGTCAAGCTGAGCGCCACAGGCCAAAGGATCTCTAGCCCCCTCTGTTGGGTTTGGTTCCAGAGTTTATGAAGCTCTGCCTGGGTCACGCTGAGGGAAAATCTCCTGGAGTTGGGCACTCGGGTTACCTGGAAAGGAGGTCACCAATCCAAGCTATTTACCCCAGACGGGAAAGGGATCAGAGTTCCCACCTCCAGCCACAAAGGGAAACACTCTTTATCTGTGTCCCAAGTCCCCAAATGAACTTGGTCTCCATTCTCTCCCAGCCAGGGCGTGTACTCTTTCTATTCTGGAAGGGTGTTCTGGGCCCCCACTTCTGCAGCCTTGAGGAGGGTCAGGGAGAGTTCTCTCTCTCCTCCAGGGTGCTATCTGTCCTGTCCCTAGCTGCCCTAATTCCTCCTTTCCCTAATCATTTATAGATCAGGGTTACAGGTAAATCTTCATTTGTAAAAAGGATTCTGCTATGAAAATTAAGTTTGAAACCCACAAGTCCTCCTGCCTTCCAGGCTCCCAGTTCTCATACTTCCCAATGTGAGGCTGGAGTGCAGAATGATAGGCTGGACCCTTCTGCTGTTTCTGCAGGAAGGGGCTTATGGGACTGACAACCTCACTCTTCCAGCCTCACCCCACCTGCCTGCCCAGCTTGTGTGTAAGATCCCTCCTGGACAATGAATGCCTCGATGTCCTATTTGTAAGTGGACAGTTGGATGAAGAGAAAAGAAAGCTTCTGCTCTCCATGAGAGTCTTTCAGATTTTACCTTTTCAGTCCACGAAACAATAGCGAATATTTCCTTGTTTGCTTGTAACGCATCTGGAATTTATTCTGGTATAAGGTATGAGGTAGGAATCTACCATGGTTTCCTCTTCTGCCTCCTGGTGTCAGTATTGATTGAATAACCCCCATCCCAGTTACCTGAAATGTTACTTTCTCCACAAACTCAATGCTTATAAGGGACACATCTGGGGTGCCTTCTGAACTTCCTATTCTATTCTATTCACTGTGGAAAGCTGGCATCCATGCACAGTATTTTAATTTTTGTAGCTCTGTGAAATAATTTACTATACTGAAATCAAGGCTCCCCTCATTGCTGTTCTTTATAAAGGACAATGTGGTCACATTCTCTTAAAAAAATAAATTAAAAAAATAAAAAATGCCAGTGGGGTTTTGCTTGAATTGCACATAGTTAGAAACTACTGAGGAGAAATGACACCTTTATCTGTCTTTTCAGGACCATTGATTCAGGGTCCCCTCTGCAGTCCACAAAGGTTCCAACTTAGCTCTGGGGCCTTTCCCACTGAGTTGATTCCTAGTTTGCTCCTTGAGTTTTGTGCAGCTAAATACTGGTACTAGAAAAACCCTGATATACAATGGTAGGACTTCACTCCACAAGTGACTTCCATTTCTCATTCCACTGCTGGCAGGAGGAACCAAGGAGGCTAGGTGGCTGGGCCAGGAGATGAGCCTGTGATCTAGTCAATGAGTACTGACCTAGGCTGGCCATAGGACTGACCCAGAGCCTCTTGCATTATGACTCTGATTTCTATCCAATTCCATGGCTTGGCTCTGAGGAGGCTCAGCTTCCACATCCTAAACTACAGCAGTGACAGGCTTCGTTCACTGCTCCAGTTAGAGCAGCTCCATGCTCCTGAAAGTCCGTGTATTCTCAAGCCATTCCCTCCTTCCCTTTCTCCACTGCAACTCCACCAACTCAAATCAGTGCTCTGGCTGGCCTTGAACAAGCATCTTGTACTTGCCTTACTGAATCTTCCCAGCCATGCTGGGAAGACATGATGCCTAAGGTTCAGAGAGGTTCCACAGCTTGCCTCAGGTTACACGGCTTTCTACTGGCAGAGCTGGGATTCTGAACCAGGGAAGTATGACAGCTCCAAGACACTGAGCCCTGGGATCTAAAGTTTTTTAAATGGGACAGGGAGACCCCAATTTTCCCATCTAGGCTTAGAATGTGCAAAGTTGCCCACTTCCTCTGAGTGGATCTGCATCACCCCTGTCATTCTGCTAACAAGAGCAGATTTGTGTGGAAAGTCAGCCAACCAGGCCCAGGATGGGAGGCGGCAGAACCAATGTGAATCCATGTCTCTGGCCTCAGAGGCCCCTGAGACCCACCATCTCTGAATAACAAGTGTTGTCTCCATTATCTTAAGGAAGGAAAACTGTTGACACCTACTGAAATTCCCTTAAGAAACTGTCACCTGCTGCTGGAGAGGCAGAGGCTACTTCAGGCCGAGGCTCAGCCTACCTGGGGCAAGGGCTGCAAGTCCTGAAAAAGTAGAAAGGTGAAGGTAGTAGTGGAGTTACTGAAGACAAACTCAAGACGTTTCACCTGGGCTTAGCCATGGTGGGAAAGAGCAGTAGGATGGGGAAGTTATAGCCCCTGTGAGCCTGTCCCCTGCTCTGGATGAGATTGGAAAGGAGAAGGGATGGAGCAGAGCATTATGGTACCGCACACCTGCTTATGCACCTCAGTTTCCCCATTTATAAGATGGTTGTGCTAGGTCTGATGGCCAATGTTCTCAGCAGAAGAAAGCAGGAAATGAGGCTTCCCCCACAAACCACAGCTGAGCTTGCGCGAGCACATCCCTTGGTGAGATCTGATGACTGCCTGTCGTGCATCAGAAGGTATCTCAATGCCCAGTGGGTGCTCCCAAAACATTGACCTGTACATGCAGGATAAATGCACTTGATCTCAGATACTCCTGATGCCCAGAGAGGGACAGTGACTAGTCCAAGGGCATACAGCCTTGCACTGACAGGTTTGCTTGCCCTTCCCTCCCTCTCTTTCTCTTGCCCGCCTCATTCACCCTTGGTATGATGGGAAGGAAGTGTCACTTCCTTTCATGAAAAGTCACTGAGTGGGAACACTGCGTCAATTACAATAATAATGGCAACAGCAGCCTCAATAACAACCAGCAGACATCACCCCACCCCTCGCCTGAGGTTGTTGGCTTAAGTTTCTCTTAGCTTGAGTTGGAGCCGAAACAAAGACAGCCTTTGAAGCATCAGTCCACTCTGTGGCCCAGGAGCCGGCTGCCTGGCAGAGTCTCCTTCTAGGGCTTGCTCCAGTGGGCAGTTTGGGGAGGGGGGCCTGCCAAGAGCCAGCACTGAGAGACAAGCTGGACATGGAACCCCAAAGACCCAGGATGCAGCACTGGCCACAGCCCAGCTTTACAAACTCAGTTAGGAAGGAGAAGAGGGACAGGGTCTGCAAGCAGCCAGAGCCAAGATGAATTTTGAAAGGAACATAAAAGGCAGAGGGGAGTAGGGACACCAAGTGTGCAGCTACCAGCTCCCAATCCCCACTGCTACCCAGCTCTGAGATATCCTAAAAGACCCTATTCCAGGATGGGCTGAGCCCCCACTGCCCCTTCCTGCCCAGTCTGGGTGATGTTTGATGGTAACAGTAAGAACTCTATTCATGGGTTGTGTCCTATTTTCCCACCCTACCCATGAAGAAACAAAACTCAGAGGTGGTAAGTGACTTATCCAAGATATCACCCAAAAGTAGAGGTAGAACCCCTGCACAGTGCACTCCCAGATCTCTCTGTGTTTCCACTCCCCTCCTACAACCCCACCCTAGTATGGCTCTCCAAGCACCTTGCCCTGGCCTAAAAGAGAGTGTGAGCCATTCCAGGTCAATTTCCCACTAGGGAAACAGGAGACCATGGGGAAAGAGGGGCAAGGAGTGTTGGAGGCCAGTTCCTCACTCACTGCCAGACCTGAGGTGATCACTGTGCGTCAGTTTCTCTGACTATAACTCAAAAGATGGAGGGACTGATTCTAAGACCCTTTCTACCTTTGCCATGTCAGGTTCTAGGCCCTAACCGATGAGATTGGCCTCTACAACTCAGCTCTGGAGACTGGACCATCTCTAGCCACCATCACCCACCGCCCTAGCACCACCTGTAGACACAGAGACCCCCACACGTGCATTAGTTCCCAACAGTGGGAATGGGGATCAGGCGGGAAGAAGAAGCACCTGTTACCCTCCCGGGCATTTCATGATCCGCTCCCCTCCCCCCAAAGCGGGCCCAAGACTCAGGAAACAAAGAGACGAACTGCAGGTCAGGGCAAAGACTCAGGAGGAGCCCTGGAGTTCCCGTAGCGGGCGAGCCCCACTGCGCCAGCCAGGGCAGGAGTCCGGGACGGTGCAACCCTCGCCGGGCGACGACCCTTGGGCACTACGGAAGGTCGGAGTTGTGGCGCCTGGGTTGCGCCCCCAGCTGCGGCTGAGCGCAAAGCGGAACTTGTTCCTTGTGCGCTAGCAACCTGAGCTGCTGCCCTCTCTCTCTCTCTCCGCATTACTCCCGCGGCCGCCACCCCGTCCCTTCTGAAGACCCGAGAAGAAAGAAGGAAGCTACGTCCTTCCTGCTGGGAGTTGGGGGTGAGCGGGCAGGGGGCAAGAATGGAGAAAAGAGTGAAGAAATGGAGCAAGGGTCCAGAAGTCGAGCCATCAGCACATCCCTTGTCCGAAAGAGGAACAGTTGATTCTTCAAAGCGCATTGAGCAAGTTCTTCAAAACCCGCGCAGTCACTTTCAGGAAACGGCGGCCGCAGTGGAAAGCGCTGCGCGCGCCCCGCGGACCCGGCGCCTCTTCTCGGCGGCGCCGGCGGGTTCTGAGAACCCGCGGGGATGTCACGGGGGGGGCGAGGGAGAGAAACTACTGCTGACAGCTGTCACAACAAATTAGCTGAGACCAGCTCGAGATTGAAACCGCAGCAGGAAGTGGGATGACAGAACCGTACAGGGTTTGGTAAATTTCAGTCAAGAGACTGCAAAAAGAGTTTCGAGATAAACGCCCGGGAAGCCCCTGGCCACCAACCCTTTTTGTCTTTCCTTTTTTTTTTTTTTCTGAGAGCGCGCGCAGACACCCCGTCTCGCCCCCTCCCGCGCTGGGCAGGGGTGCTGGTACCCAGGTCCGCGCTCGTTCCGCGTGCTCAAGACCACCTTCGACCCCTCCCCACCCCCCAAAGTGGCGCCCACGGCCACGAGGACAGGAGGAGATCCTGCGGCACACCTTCGCCCTCCCCGCGGGGTCGCCGAGCCCCGTCCTAAGCCGTCGAGACGCTTACCCATGGCCCGGCGAGATCGCTCGTAGCCCGCCCGAAGACCCTCAGCAGGGGCGGCCCTCCGGACTCCGCGCTCTCGGCGCGACTGACTGGAAGCGCCGCTTGTCTGCCGCTCCCTGCAGCACCGCCCCACCCGGGCACCGCCCCTGCCCCGCTCTGCGCTCACATTGGTGGATCGGGCTCTTTCGGGCGGGACAGGGGTAGCCCTCTCAGCCCGAAGACTTCTGGGAGTTGTAGTACGTTCCCCCGTCTGTTTCTTTAGTGGCAAAACTAGAGTCTTGGAAAACTTGCTTTATGCAGCGTACTGAGGTCTGGGCGGGGTAAGCAAAGTGCATCTAACTTTGACCTGAAGAACCCTGGACATTTCCCAAGCATCCAGCCCCCTATAAGACAGGTGGTTAGTGTTAGTCTAAGAGAGACCAAAACGAGCAAGTCCTTGGCCTAAGGTCTGTGGGGTTTCCGAAATGCCTGATATCCCAGATCTGCCCTTATTGTCCAATGTCCATATATGTCATACAGACCTAATGGCAGCCTGAAACTGAGCCATGAAAAGAAGAGGCATGACCCCTGGCTGAAGGAAATAAGAATGAGGCTTAGAATGGGTGGGGTGAGGGGAGGGTCCAAGTCAGCCATTGCAGTCACTTGTACCTGTGTGGGTCATAGAGGAGGAAACTGAGGGCTAGGGGTTAAGAGTATAAAGTCTTGGCAGGTGGCAAGCTTAGACTTGAACTCTGTTCCTAGCACGTAAGTAAGTACTAGAAATTGTTAATTTTCATACTCAAAACAGCTCTATGCATTTCACACCATCACTAACCTCACTTAAGGGAGTAAAACTGAGGTCTGGAAGATTAATTAGCTCAAGTAATTTAGTTGGTAGGTGATAGAGCCAAAGCTAACTCCAGACATCTGAGCTCAGAAGAGGAGCTCTCATACCCAGGGCTCCATACACAAGCCCTGTTTGCACTCATCATGGCTTATCTATCACACACTAAATAAACGGACCAGGCTGCAGCTTGGTGACCCTGAAACCCTGGCACTTACCCATGGGCCCTAGCATGGCAGATCTCTACAAGTCAGCCCGGAGCAGACCACACTGTGGGATCTGCAGGAGATAGCCCTTATGCATGGCACCATGGCCTGGTTTCTAAGAGCCAGCACTTACATATTTGGTAATGGACTCATTGTTGTCAGTATTTAGTAACTGCCCAGAACAATCACTACAATGGTAATTATAACAGTGTCCTATCCCTCCTCTTCCCCTCTACCACCTCCAAGGTTACAAGCCCCTCTCTCCAGGAGAGTTGAGGCTGTGGCAGAGATACCACTATGGGATACCATTCGAAAGCGTCACAGGCTTCTACTGCCACCTTTGCCATTCTATAAGGATTGACTAGACAGGCATGAGGCCTAGTTGGAATGGAGACTTGGATGATGCCCTCAGGTTCACAGTCTAGGCCACTCCTTCCTCCTTGATTAGACACTCGCATTGAAGAGGAATTCACTACCTTACAAGCAACACCTCAGGATAGGGTGATCCTGCCATCACTCTTACAGACAGGGGCTGTTGTGCAAAGCCTCGGCAAGTCAACACCTGCCTGGGCCAACTTGGGAACAATATGATCTAAATTTAATTGCCTCTGGAGGCAACTATTTGCAATAGAAAGTAGTTTACAATGGCCAATAAATCTTGCTGAGAGACTGATATCTCCATTTGCCACCCTAAATGCATAAACACTCCCATTATTCAAGCCTCTATCTCACATACCTCCACCTCCTGTACCCTCCAACCACAGGATCCCAGCCCAGGATAGCCAGAGGGGGCCACCCAGCCCCTCAATGTCTTGGTGTCTGTCTGCATGTCTCCAGAAGAAAAATAAACCACCACTAATACATAAACACATTCTTCCTGTAAAAACATTGCAAATAAATCAGTCCTCTCTGGCACTATCCCAAATCTAGTTCCCTCCCTCCCCATTATCAGATTAGATAAAGTCTTCTAGAATGTTCCCTATGTATTTTCATAAATACATGTATCTGTGGTGTAATAAAATATGTAACTTTACTGTGTTTTTAAATAAGTGATACAATGTTAATTGCTCCATTCCAAGACTACTTTTTTTAATCAACAACAGATCTTAGAGCTCTTTCCAGATAGAGCACAGATCAGCTTCTCTCTCCTGACTGCTGAGCTTTGTGCCTTTGCGGGGATCTACCAATGTCTTTGATCTCCTCTTAATGGTCCTTAATCTTCTTAAAACTTACTTATTATGTGAATCCTGCCAAGAATATTCTAGACCCCCTTAGAGCACTGTCTGGGAATTACTGAACTAAGGCTGCCTTCTAACACCTCTCATCGCCCATTTCTAGGAAGAAAGCCTAAGGAGAGGGTGGGAGTGGAGGTGTTCTCATTCTGGAGCTTTCAGAGCTATAAGGAACATTAAAGATCATCTGGCCACCAGGTTAAGTGAGTTGCCCAAGGTCACACAGCAGTCAAGGCTGCTGCTTCTGCTGGGACCTGCAAAGCCATTCAGTACATTCAGAAAACAGAACATACAACCATAAGAAGCTCTTGTTCCCAGGCTCAGCAGTTACAAAATGCCCCCAGGGTTTTGTTTTCAAAGGAGAAAGTGGGAAGTATTTTTAATGTTGGCCCTGCCTTGCCCCCTCCCCCATGCTAGCTGTCCAGGAAAGGCCGGCTTCACGGTGGCATCTGCAACTCATGGAAAACAACAAACGCTCGAAATAGACGATACCCAAGCTCCGGAATGGAAAAAATTGGCTCATGGTTTCAAATGCCTCTTTTAGAAAAAGACAAGAATAGCTTGTGGCCTTTGGGGAGCTGCTGGGGATGAGGGAGTGGGGAGGTGGTAGTGCTGGGATACAGTTGAGTCCCAATACCAAGGTCCAACTTCCTGCCTTACAGGGCTGTGGTCACTGTCCCCAGGGCACATGAAAGGGCATCCTCCAACCTCTCCGAGCCCTGCCTTGCAGCTGAATCTAGAGTAGCTTCCTTTGTGGGGTTAGAGCTGGTCTGGGGAGGTGCTCCCTGACTTCCCCACCTCATCCAACAGAAACTTGTACTTCCTGAGCCTGAAAAGTGAAAGTTGAATTCTCCTGGGGGAGGGGGAGGGGATTTAGGTTTTCATCAGCACTCAGATCTAGACCAGCTGTGTGGCCCTGCACACGCGACTTAACCTCTGGGAAACTTGGAGGCCTCATCTGGAAAGCTGGCTGATGCTTCGTTCTATTCATTCATGCATTCATCTGATATGTATCATGTACTCCTACTGTGTGTTGGCACTGAGCTAGACATTGGGACAAATCCACCATCTATCTGGAAAGGGTTAGAACTAAGTCCCTAGCCTTGTGGAGCAGAAGATGCAGCCCCTGACAACCTCATAGGCTGCCCAGGATTCCCTTCTCATTCCTCCTTCAGTTACAGAGCCCAGCATTTGCACCAGTATCTTGCCTGGGTCATTTCATTTCATATCACCCCAGCTTATGAAGTGGGTACTATATTTGTCCCTAGTGTGTCCTCAAGGACATTGAGAAACAGAGAGTAAAGTGCTGTATAAGTTCATGTGCTCAGCCACAAACAGGAAGGAGTAAGAAAAGGGTTGACTGTGCTCTAGGTCCCAGGATCAGGGTAACTACAGCTAAGTTTTTAGTGTCACTTTGTTTTACAAAGTGGCTGGCGACTCTAGGGTGAAAGTCAGTACAAAATGCACCGCACAAGAAATTTTTAATAAAGCAGGGTCAGCATCATACTACTCTTCAGCATACATCCGAAGGAGTGTAAATCAATATGACTAGAGAGATACCTGCACACCCATGTTTATTGCAGCTCTGTGCACAATATATAAACTATGGAATTAGCCAAGATGCCCAACCACCAATGAATGGATAAAGAAAAAAAAAATATATATATATATATATATGCCATAGAATATTACTCAGCCAAAGAGAAATAACGGGATGATGTCATTTGCTGGAAAATGGATAGAACTGAGTGAGATAAGCCAAGCTCAAAAGCCAAATATCTCGTTTTCACTCATTTGTAGAACCTACACCTGAAATGATGATGATGATAAGACTTGAATGTGAAAGGAGGAAGGTCTGAGGGGGGATCAAGAAGAGGAGGAAAGGGAAATACAGTACATCTATATGTTCAAAAACAGCATAGTGAAACCCAAGAAACACTATAAAAAAGGAGGGGGGAGTAGAGAGAGCAGAATGAAAATATAATGGAGGGGGTGAACTCTTTTAAAGTACACTGTACTAATGTATGGAATTATCACAATGAAATCCCTTTGTATTATTAATGTATGGTAACTCAAAATATAAGTTCCATAAAGTGGGATCAGTGTAGCACTTTTATTTAAAATAAGATTTCAAAAGGCCCTTCGACCCTGTCTTGTGTAATTGCTCCTCCCATTTGACATATGGGTAAACTAAGGCATGCAGCTGTTAAGTGGCGTCTGCCTGGCGGGACCCGCCCAGCGCTCAGCCAGGCGGAGATGATGGGGGCGCGAGGAGAAGAGAAATGCTAAGCCAGGGAGCGCGTCTGGGGCCAAGATAGAACTACATCTCCCAGGATGCAGTGCAAGGGGGGGCGTGTAAGGGCGGAGCTGCTGGTTAGCCAGGCAGTAATTTCTTGGTATTAAAAAAAGAGAGAGAGAGAGACGGGCGGGGGAGGGGGAGCAAAAGTAAAGAGAGAATCAAAGCCTCAAGCGTCACGTCTAGGAATAGCCTTGGAGTCGGGCCAAGTCATTATAGACGATGAGTAATCCGGTTAAGTCATTTCTCTAAACACCATTCCTTGTAAGAGAATTAAAATATCAGCTTACATCAGAGCGGGAGAGGCGGGCTCCGTGGGCCCGGGCCGGAGCGCGGCCAGGAGCGGGGCGCGGCTGGCGCGCTCTGCGGCTCTGCCTGCCCGAGAGCGGGAGCTGCTTTGCCAGGGCGCTGCCGGCGGGGCCTGTGCCCGGCCCGAGGCTGGCAACCAGCTAACGGGGGAGGGGAGCGGCCGGCCAGGCCTCAGATAACCCTGCTGAGAAGGGTCCCG